CATCGGTTGATTTTGAAAAAGAAAGAATTTATTTGAAATTTTAACATTTTTTTACTTTATAATTTTTATTTTACTTTTTATATTCACTTTAGTAAGAAGAACAAAAACAAAAAGCAAAAAACTTTGAAGAAGCAGGAATCGAGAAGAAACTCGCAAGTAACTGCAGAGGAAATTAAGGCAGACGAGTTTCAACAGCAACTGAAAGAACTCCAGCAACAAACTGATCCAGAAAATTCAACTTGTGTCAATGAAACGTTTGTTATTTCGTCGTCGGTTCATCTTTTTTTTTGATGGGTCAATTAATTGATTTTTTGAAAATAATAACAGTGATCCGTTTGAATATGTATCATGGAGAAGAATTCCACAGTCTAAGGAAGATCACGTGCTTGAAGAAAGGTCGATATTCATGGTTTTCTCATTGTTATATTTTTATCTATTTGAAATAGAAAAAATTTAATTGCAAATCTTTTTTTCATAAATGAATATTGAAGATCAGTTCAGTTATTAATTCAATGCTTTCTTTGTAGTGCTCCAAAAATCATTTGCTCCCAAACAAACTTTGTTGTGGTTTAAATTTTTTTTCAATGTAGAAAAAGGCAGAGAAATGTTTTTTTAAATATGCCTCTGCAGGTTTAAGTTATTTGATGCATCCATGAATGATGTGAACGCGGTGTTACAAAGTTGGCAGAGGTCTACAGGGATCCAACACGCATCCATTCAATTTCCTGATAGCAACAACTTACAAGAAAACAAAGGAAATAAAAAGAATAAGAAACAAGGTCAATTATTTGATGCTTTTTTAAATGCCGGTGTATATATTTACATTTGATGTGTTTATTTGTGGGTGTGTGTTGCGCTCACATTTAAATGATCACAATTCACTTTCAAATCAGACAAAGATAAAAAAGACAAGCCAAAAGAGAAGGCGTCAATGGTAATATTGAAACATTAATTATTTATATATATATATATATATATGTGTGTATTGTATATATATATATATATATATATATATATATATATATATATATATATATGTGTGTGTGTGTGTGTGTGTGTATTGTATATATATATATATATGTATATATATTTTTACAATATTCTATAAATTCTACCGAATGTTTGGCGTTAATATGTTTGTAGTTCGTTTTTTCGATTTTTCTCACTAAAGTTTTTTGGTGAACGTTTAGTTTATTAAAATTTAAAATAAACTTTGACGTTGTAAAAATTAACTTTGGTGTTGTAAAATTGAACTTTGATGCGAATTAGGTGTCAGGTTTCTTAATTGGCTGGTCATCTTCTTTGGTCTCCTTTTCTTCATCGATAGCATCATATTCTTCTTTGTCACTATTTACGATGCTAGTTTTTATTACTTCTTTGTTTTTGTTGTTGGTTAAGCACCGGGTTGGAAGTGAGGTTGTCATTTTTTGTTGTATATTTATTTTTGGTTTATTGATGTCGATTAGGACTGCTTCTGCAATTTTAAGATGCGTGTAGTTGCTGTTCTGGTATATTACTTTGGTGTTGCTGTCGAGGATTTCACGGCTAATTGTGATTGAGTGTGTTGAGTCCAAATGAGATTTGATAGCACCACTCTGTTTATGCATCGTAAGCCTTCTAGTCAGTGAGGTAGTAGTAATCGCGATATATGAGTCATGTTGACGTGCACAGCCGTCAAAGGGGCAATTAAATTTATATATTACGTGATTACGCTTTAACTCAGAGTTATCTCTAGGACTGCAGTTGTTTTTCAGTATTAGGTGAGACGTCTTTTTATTGTTGTAATAAATTCGGAGTTTAACTTTACTATTTGGGTTGGCTGGTGTGACATTTTTATTGATGATATGCTTAAGAATAGCTTCATCTACCTTGTATGCTGTTGACATGTGATTTCTGTAATACATCTTGATTGTTATCTTGATTGTTGGTACTAGGAAGGTTATTTTACAACACCAAAGTTAATTTTTACAACGTCAAAGTTAATCTTGACAAAGTCAATATTTCCCTATATATACAACAAGGAGCACTGACGATGATTCATTCGGAATCGAAATATGGCCTTTTTGCAGCATGAATTCGAAAAATAAGTTTATTTTGAATTTTAATAAACTAAACGTTCACCAAAAAACTTTAGTGAGAAAAATCGAAAAAACGAACTACAAACATATTAACGCCAAACATTCGGTAAAATTTATAGAATATTGTAAAAATTATGGTCTATTACCAACATATATATATATATATAATATATATATATATATATGTATATATATATATATATATATATATATATATTACGTTTTATCAGCAGTCTACATTTGTGGACAACGACACGGATGCTAACATCAAAAAGAAGACAACGGAGGAATTGTTGGAGGAAGGGATAGGAGTGCCACACGTCGTGGTGGATGTTTCGTATCAAAGTCTTTCAACTGCTTATGACTCAATTTGCCAGACTATGGTTCTTCCAAGTCCTCAAGAAGTCATTTTCTTTTTAACTAATTATTTTAATTAATTCAATCATTGTTAACAAATTGTTGTGCTCACAGACTGTGACTATTGATATTGTTAGTTCACAATGTAATACTGTAAATACTTTAGTAAAATTTGATTTCTATTGACAAAATGGATGCGTCTACATGCCAATAATAATAAATTATAAACGGGAATCTTCGAATCAGGACCTCTTCTCCGATTCAGAGTTTTGTTATCAACAATATTTGAATGAACTGGTTTTCTCAAATCCATTTATAAATTAGCAAGTTTGTAATCTTTTTAATCTAGCGTTGAATTTGGCAATCGAATAAAAGAATGACTCACAAAAAAGCTCACATCTATTGCACATTTACACCTTGTACGTCTTTTTTCTATTATCGCTTGGAGTGATTCTATATACCTTAAACTAAAATCCTTCTAAGTTTGAACTAATATCTTTTAATAAATCCAAATACTCAATTATTATTCCTTCTATTGATATCTTACTTTTTATTACAATATTCTTATTTTTTTTTCCTAAGTTTCGTGATCTGAGCTCTATCTTTGATTGATTCTAGCATGTTCCTTTTTTCTCAGATTATTTGTGTTGTTTCATCAACAGAGAATAAAAAACTTTTGCCTTTTCTTGACGATCCTACACTTCTCCTACTTGTTACTTTTTTAGTCTTATCTAGGATTGATTATTGTAACTCGCTCTACTATGGTTATCCTGATTCTACACTCTATCCTATAAGTAAAGCTTTTAACTCTGCTGCTCGTCTAGTTGCTCGTGTCCCTTTCTTTTCTCATATATTTCAACATCTCGTTCTTTTGAACTGGCTACTTATAAAATATAGAATAATTTTTTAATTTTGTAAATTTATTTGCAAGTCTCAATTTAAATTATTTCCTAAGTATTTTATCAAATATATTATTAATTAAACCTAAGCCTTGGTTTACAATCGTCTTCTCATGCTCACTTTTTTAACTTCAGTTTAACATTATTACGCTAAATCTGCTTTTGCATTTTTTGGCTCTTTTTTCCGGTACTCTCTACCTTTTTCTCCTTTTTCTCTGCCTACTTCTACATCACTTACGAAGCTTAGAGCTGATTCAAAGACCCATCTCTTTTTGAAATTCATGGAGTAGCGCTGTTGAACATCTCTGAAATGGCGTTTCAGAAAAAAGTTGATTGACTGACTGACTGACTGGCTGACTGGCTGCCCGGCTGACTGACTGACTGGCTGACTGACTGATTGATTGATTGATTGATTGATTGTTTGATTGATTGATTGATTGATTGATTGATTGATTGATTGATTGATTGATTGATTGATTGATTGATTGATTGATTGATTGATTGATTGATTGATTGATTGATTGATTGATTGATTGATTGATTGATTGATTGATTGATTGATTGATTGATTGATTGATTGATTGATTGATTGATTGATTGATTGATTGATTGATTGATTGATTGAATAATTGATTGATCGATCGATTAGTCATTTAAACTGAAATTATCACTAAAAAAGAGTTCAAAATCATTTATCAAAACATTTTACAATTCTTACAATCTTGATCAAACTAGTTTTTTTAAACACAAGCTGTTTAAAGACTAAAAGAAATCAAATTTTAATAAAATTTTGAAAACCATATATAAATTCATACTTTTAAAGTTTATTTGTTGTATTAAAGATTTTAGAAGGTCTTGGTGAAGGCATATTTGGTCCTCCCCTACCTCCTCCTATGGTGTATAGTGTCGTGTCTTACCCTCATAAAAGAACAGCACCTCCTCTCTTGGCTAATGGTGGCAAATATTTTACTCTTATTTGTCCATCCAACATTTCTGACATGTAAGTTTGATATATTGTTTAATAACGATTTTGTTATTTAAATATCGTATTAATTGAAGTTCTCAGTTGACATCAGCCGATCAAGAAGTTAAAGGCAAGACATCTGTCGGATCTATTTCATCAATTCCTCATAAAGCTAATAAAAGTAAGGACAAAAAAGATAAAATGTTTGAACAAGAAAAAGAGAAAAATGAAAAATTGAAAGAAAAAAAGAAATCACATACCACCGGTAAACAGTCGAAAAGGTCGCATAGTTTGGAGCCCGATCAATCCAGTGAAAAAATATCAGAAACCACTCAACTCCCGATTAAAGCACTTCCAGTAAAGTAAGTATAAATAATGACTGGAACGTTATCTTTAATAATTGTTGTTTTAATTTATGCAGTTTTAGATTTTCTAGCTTTGTATTTGTTTATTTTTAAACTTATTTTAAACGAAGAACTTATATTTCAAAAATAAACATGACCTAGTTAGTAGCTATTAAATGCGATTGCAAGTTAATAATGCTTTTGGTTTTGGTTCAGATTTCAATATTACATACTAACTTGCACATTTAGCTACTCTTTAAATTGAAATTTTCAAACGATTTAGATGGTTATGATGATGGGAATATGAATGGTGATGACTATTCAGTTTATTTACATCCAACGCAGTATAACGTTTGCGATGAAATTTTTATTTATTAGAAGTTGTCGATGGGTTATCCCAGCGTGTTCAGACCATGTTGTGCAGGTTCAATTCCAGTCAGACACCTGTGCACAATTAGATCAGACGTACACATTTCAAGTTGTTGGCAATAAAAATTTATATCCTGTTTCTTGTCGAGCATTTTCTGGCTACCCTGGCATCACTGGAGATCCCAAGTAGAATTTTTGATGGAAATGATTCAATTTTTCGTTTAATAATTTGTTTCAATTGTGGACCGCGTGGGTTATTACAAACTTGTTGATATGTCAATTAATCTAGAGTTGTGTTTGCGTGCCGAGTGAAGTGCAAGAAAGAGAATGAAATTGTGCATAAAAAGTACGTCATGTCAAATGGAGTTTTTGAATTTGGTCCACTCATTGTTGGAAAGCCAAAAGACAAGTCTAGTTTTTCTGTTAATTTATCCATACAATTTTTTAATTCATCCTTATCATTATTAAATTTTTTATTTTAATTTTTAACTTTCAAATATAGAAATGTTTGAATTAGGTATAGAGAATGTGTATACGAAGAAAACGTTGAAAGGTTGAACATCATGAACATATCACTGTTCACTGCAGAGGTGAGTTTTGCATTTCATAGAGACGATAAAGAAGAAGTTTTCATGCTACATCCTCCGTTCATGGTGCTTGCTTCAGGGGAGAAGAAAGTAAATTGTCATTATTACTTTTATAGGTTATAGGAGAGTATGTTTTAAAGAGTTTCTTAGCGAGTTTCATAAACATCTTTAAATAGTAGTCGTACATTTTTCATTGCAAAGTTGATTGCAAAGTAGACAGATAGAAACTCTATTTTTGAAATATGAAATTATATTAAAATATTTTTAAATCGAAATCTTTGATTAGAATGCTCCGTTAAATATGAAAATGTACCAGGAGCTCTTTTTATGGGCATATCCGAAAGCGAATGGTCTCATTGAAGACACTTTGGTATGTTGTGTTAAAGACAATCCCCAACCAGTCCTATTCAAGATTTCTTGTGAAGGTGTCACTCCGGAACTGGTCGTCAACAAGGAACTTCTTTTCGACAAGGTGCTCTTGCACAGGTCTCCGTTTATTTCAATTTTTTTTGGGGCATTTAAATGTTCACAGATGCTCGTTAAATTTTATCTATTTTTTCAAATTTGTGTTATTTGATGTATGATTAATTTTTGGGAAACGAGCAATTTTAATAAATAGTTCTGGATTGGATTTTGATGATTCAGTCATACCATAATTAATCGCATACGACACACAGACACTTACATACAAACCCACAAACACACGTTGGTATATGCATTCGTTCGTGAAAGTCTGGGGTATTGCAGAGGCATGTTTTATGGCTTGTCAAGTAGAGTTGTTTTTGTTCTTCAGTCTATCAAGAATAGAACAGCCAATTGATTGCCGGTGGTCTTAAATTTAATCATGTGACTCCCATTTTTGGAAAGCTTTTGTTGGCTCATTATGAGAAAAATAATTTCATAAAAACTATGTCCTACAAAGTATAAAGCAGTGCATAGTTTGTTGGTCCTACGTTTCTTCGAACATCTACGCTTATCAAGTATAAAATTTAGTAATAGTGCGACACTCTTGTATTTTTTTGAGTAAAAAATAAAAGAAAACAGTGCCATTACTTTTACAACATCAATAAACATTTAGACGTGGATTGAAAGCTTTGGTACTCACCAACAACACTGCTGTTCCGGTAGCATGGAAGTTGTCTGGCCACGAAGGACTTGGTGAAGAGTTTTCAGTTGGCCAATGTGAAGGTGTTGTGCCGTGCAAGTCCACGTGTGAGGTGCCATGCTATTTTAAAGCTTCCAAGCCAATTGTTGTTTCCAAGAAAACAATTAGACTTGAGGTAATTTAATTTTGGTAACAAAATTTATTGAAGAATTGCAACAAGCGATCTTACGCGATGTAACGTTCATTGAATGATTCAATCAAATTAACAATGACAGGTGTACGATGTAGAGAACCTATTGGGTTTGATACATACAAACAACGTCCAAGTGTCCGCAGAAGCTTATGATGTCGCTCTTGATATCAGTTTTCCTAAAGGTTTTCTTTGCTTCGTGACTTCAAATAGTATTCAACTGCCATAAAACTTTAATCTGCCAGTCTTATCGAGTAAAATAGCCCCAATATTATTAATGACAACAACAATAACGGTAATAAAAACAAGCGTTTTAAGTTTTGTCATGAAATTCGTAACTTAATTATTTCAGCGTTTTCGATTTTATTCGCCACTCTGAAAATACAAAGGGAATTATTCATCATATTTTTCAATGTTTTCCGTTTCAAATGAATTTCACAAGGCGACATTCTATGAATTTGTTTTTTTTTGGTTGAAAACTCTAAATGTTCGATTTATTTTTTTCATTTTTGGCTTTAGGAAGTGATGGTGGGTTAGATTACGGTTTATGTAAAGTTTGTGAAGAGAACAAATTGGTCTGCACTTTAAGAAACAAAGGCAAGTACGACATTAATTACAGGTTCCAGTCTTCAGTTCTTCCTTTGTCACATGTTAACAAAAAATTTTTCCAAGTTTTTAACGTTTCAAATTGATAAATTTCATTAGTTTATTGGTTAACTTTTATAAAGTAAAATTATTGCTCAACCAGACTGGAGTTTGTATATGTGAACAAAAAATCAAGCGATTATCTGAAGTACTTCAAGACCACTCCATCGTCAGGACTGCTCACCCCGTCCGATAAAACATCCGTCCAAGTTATATTCTACCCTAAAAAAGAAATTGCCATCAAAAATCTGCCGTTGCTTCGGTGTTTTGTCATTGAATGCAAGCAAGATGAAAAGAAAAATGATGACAAAAAAAGCAAGAAAGAAGGTAAAACTCAACTAGACGATTGTGAACTAAGTGAAAGGAGTGAAGTCATAGCTAGTATTCCCATTCAAGTTTCTGCCAGATCCACATTTACAAAGTTAGCAGTGTATATTATTATTAATATTTTACCAACCAGTTTTTTCAATGTCCATTTGAGTTTATGATATTGTGATACAAATCGGCTGCATTTTTACTTTGGATCATTTTTTAGGTACAAAATCATTCCTAGCAAGGAGTTAAATATGGAAGCAGTAATGACAACCACAAAAAAAACGAAATGTTTTACCATTGAAAACATCGGTGAAAAATTTGAACTTAGATTCAATATATATTTCAAAAAACAGCAGACACCCCCGAGCCCAATTTCCAAGTCGTCGTCACAGTCATCACTTGCATTAAAAAGGTTTGCCGGTTTTTTATGAAAATTATTCTGTGTGAAAAAATATTAAATTTTTATTCAATCAAGATAGTTTTTATTTTAACTTCAATTGATTTTTTAAAAACTTTTATTCAGTTCTAAGAACAAATCAGCATCTAAGTATTCAGCAAAATCAAAGAAATCAACTGACAAGAGGTAAATATTTCGTTTTTTTCCAGTTATTATTTTGGATAACAAATTTATAAAAAATTTCAAACTGAAGTTTTTTTTCTGCTGATAAAAACAAATATAGCAAGCAAAGCGTCAATCTTATTTCGTCAAAGTTGACTTGCGGGGTTTTCAGCATCTATCCATCGAGCGGGACAGTGGAAGCCGGCGGAAAGATGAGCATCTCTGTCGAAACGTCATCAGATGTCGTTGGAAAATTTGAAGAGGTTATAGACAATGCATTGGAGTGAATTTTATTTAGGAGTTGATTATTTCTAATTGTATTATACTACTTTTTTGTTTTCAAGCCCGGTATTTTATTATTTAATTGTTGTTGTTTTATTGTTATCAGTTCAATCTTAAATGATTTTTTAGAGTTTCCTTTGACGATAAATGAACTTGAATGATTTTATTTATGACTGTTATATTACAAGGTGGTGATTGATATTAACCACTGTGAATCAATTTATTGGAATTAAAATTAATGTTAGAGTCAATGAAGAAATATGCGAAAGCTTAGTAAAAAACATTCAAGTCTGCGTCTGATGGTAAAACGAAGGATTTCCTTCATATTCAGTTGATTAGGATTACATTGATAGCATAGCATATTAAAACTTTGTTACAATGCAAATAGATTAATTGATAGAAAATTCTTGGTTAAAATGAGAACCCTTGGGTACATAAACGAATAGAATCTAATATTTGGATAGAATGAAAATGTTTGGACGGAAGGAAAATATTTGGATAGAGTGCAAATATTTGGATAGTTTAAAAATATTCGGATTGAGAATTATTTGAAAAGGACAGATTACTTGGGATAGAATTATAATCATTGAACATAATGAAAATATTTGGACAGGCGCTCAAAGTCGTTATGACAAAAAATATACAAAATTTTTTATCTTATTATTTTGTACGATGTTGAAAACACTTTGAAAACATTTTTTAAGAAAGTTTTATAAAGCCATAACTCTCATCGAATGCAAAATAGTTGAGTGTATAATCGGTTCTGATTCTATTTTTAATTCTGGTAAAATTAAATGTTATTGCAATAATTATAAATTCATATGAAAAAATAATTAAGCTAATTAATAGTTAAATGCTGGCTAGTGTTCATTAATAATAGGATGCGTGATAGTCATTAATGTCTTCTCTACGTTTTACAGGAAATTTTTATAAATATTGAAAACGTTGGAGAAGCTTATAACTGCAAAGAGGCTTATAGGGGGCTGCCATACAAACTGCTTGTTCAATATTGTATACCCAGGTTTGAAGTGGAAGACGCCAGCATCATATTTGAAGAGCACGCGGTCAGTTTTTTGCGTTCTTCTTATTATTATTGTTGTTATTATTACTATGGGTATATAGCGTTTTTTTTAAACTTTTCGAAAGCGCTCAACAATTAACTTGATAAATTTTACACCATATTTTTATTTTTCTGAAATTTATGTATGCATACGTGTATGTGTGTGTGTATATGTGTGTCTATTTGTGTGTTTGTGTGGTGTGTGTGTTTTAGTTTCTTGTTCAATTGTTACAGTATTTTTGTATTCGTTTCTATTTTATTTAATTTTCGTTTTAGTTATTGTTCCTATTTCTATCGAACATAACAGCTTTTCAACGGCGAAAGTAAAATTAAACTAAACTACAAAGTGTGGTTTTCCAGATTTTCTAAGAAAATGTAAAAAGCGACAAAATTTTCTGTCGTTTGAAATTAATTTAAACGAAATATTTCCATGTAAAAAGTCTTAATTTCAGCTTCCTTCTCAACAACAACATCTAGTTAATTTTCAAAACTTACTGGTTTCAAAAGAATTGTATAATAAAAACTGGAATGAACAAGAGAAAGGTCGCCATTTTTTTAAATCCAAGCTCCCCGTAACACATTTTTGTTATTTATATTTTTATTGTTGTTGTTGTTGATGTTATTATTATTATTATTACTATTGAATTGAATTTATTTACTTATTTTCAGTCAGAGGACCAAAAAAGTTTAAAATTTAAATTGTAGATGAGCCAGCCTGAATAAGTTATACGCAAAATGTAGACATTTCAAACGGTTTAATGAATTAAAACATCTAAACATGCAACTATGCACAACGCATCACTTATAAATCCACTCTCAAAACGTCAATGGGAGATGAGAACTATATAGCATAAATAAATATCAAGATATCGATTGAACTTATGAAAATGAATATAATGTAAGATAAAGATAATAGACAAAGTGTTTGCAAATAAATAATATAATACAAAATTGTAGATCTCTTAAAAGTGCTTTTAAATAAATTTTACGAAATGTTCAATTTCAAAAAGCCATCTTTCCACGGAAAAACAATTGCCCCGAATGGCTCAAATCATTTGGCATCATTGAGCTAAACTTCATCTCTCTGATTTTAACGTTTTCGGACCACGAACTTTTACTAGTTACTATATGGCAATGTGAATATACAAACATACAAAAAATCAAACCTGCAAACATACAAGGATGTTAACATGCAAACACACAAAAATGTGAACAAGTAAGCATACAAAAAAGTGAACATGCAAACACTCAAGAATGTGAATGTGAACAAGCAAACATACAAAAATGTGAACATGCAAACATACAAAAATGTGAACCTAGCGTTGCCATCTCAATATTTACGAACAGACAAAGGATCAAAACATTAGAACACTAATTTATGGATGCTAAGAAAGATGATTTCATGCTAGTGCTGCAGATTAATTAAAAAAATAATTGAATGCGCGTTTGTTTCTCATTTTGTTGTAATGAATATTTTAAGGATAATGATAATGACGATGGCAAATTATATTCAACATGTCCGTTACAAAACTTCATTATTTAAAGGTTCAACAGGATTTGGATATTTTTTGTGTGGATCAAATGAAGCACTACAAAGGTTCTTTTTTATGAAATTCATAAATTATTGTTTTACAGTTGATAACCACAATTTCTCATCGTAGAAGGGTTTATTCTTTAATACATCTTTTAGAAATGTTTCAAATTTAAGTAGCCTACTTTTTGGCTTATCATGATTATGGTGCATTTTTGAGCAGTGACCAAACATTTTAATTAACCATAAATCGATTTGTGCACAAATTGTAAAAGAAAGGTATTTCATCTAGTCGTCTTTTTGAAGTGTCCACCTGCGCTTTTCACAATTTTTCCATTTAACGTACGTAATAACGCACTCTTCAGAAGAAGCGAGTCTTCATAACGCTGAGGGACCGTTCATTTAGTCACTGCTCTTAAAATGCGCCATATTCATTTCATGATAGACAAAAAGTGGGCTAATTAAATTTGAAACATTTCTAAAATGAAGATGTATTAAATAATAAGCTTTCTACGTTGGCTGCTATCTTTAATATGTAGTGGAGAATTTGGAAAAAAATATGTTAATTCAGTCAAAATTAATCGTTAACACGCAGGGGTTGGTATTTATAAGAAAATGGGTCAGAAATTTGTTTTCAAAGACGTCTTGGTTGGCACTGCAGCAACGGCCAGATTCAAGTTACTCAACTTAGGAGAGGTGTTCTTGCAATAATTTTTACAATGTTTTGTCATACTAGAAAACTGTATTTAACAAATTAACAATAAAATTTATTATTGCCAATTGGAAACTATTGCAAGACCGTGGAAAACGATTTTAAAGTAGAATTTTTACAAAAAAAAAAATTCGTTTTATGAATTCCGTATACCAAAGATTCCATGCGATGTGGGCATGTCGCTGAAACCAATTACTCTCAAGTCAACGAAAACCTCATCAAACATTGATGCTTTCCAACTGATTCCTCCGAAGATTCAAATTCCTGCCAAGTGCCATAAATTCATTCAAGTTCAATTTAGCCCAAACTTATTGCAGGTTAATTGTGGTCGTCGTATTGTTTGTGGTTGCATGACTTAACAATAGTCGTTCGAATGATTACTTCGATACGATTGGATCTTTAGTTAAGTATTTGTTCATCTTTTTTAAATTAAATTTCATGAACATCATTTTTCATTTCTTTTTGAACTTTCATGTTCCGTTGATTACTCAGAATAGTTTTCATTTCAGACGTATTCTGCATCTTTTGATGCTTGCATTGAGGTTAGGCCCTCAAACGTGGACAGTTTGCCTGACTTGACGTTTGAGTTGCACGGGGAGGGAGTGCTACCTCGAATTCACATAATCAAGCCTCATCTGCGATCTCTCAGCAACGAACCTCTCTTGCTCTTTGTCAGAAGTTTAGTTGGTCATGAGCAGACCGCACCAGTGTACTTCATGAATGATTGCACCCTGCCGTGCACTGTGAGAAAGTAACATTATCACAGATTTCAAGCAACGCTGCAGATATTTTTAATCAGATTAACGTTGATTTAAAATTCACCACCAGTTGAACTTGCAGTTGATTGACCCTGACAACGTTTTCAGCGTCCTCATCGGTTCACCTGGGTGCTCAAAAAAAATTTGTAATGTCATTTTAATGTTTTTTTTTTTTACATTAGTTAAGATTTGTTCATTTATTATATTTTTCAAAAGTTATATGCTTGTAAAAAGTATATTGACTGTTGTGAAAATGACTTGAGTGGAGTCAAAAGTATAGTTGGCTGCTGATGACTGTTTGAAATAAAAGGTTGTTAATTAATTCATTTGATAAAAATGAAAACTGAAGGTTCGGGTGGAGTGTTGTGTCTGTCGATGGAGGCTATGGAGACGTGCACGCTACTCGTTCGACATCTCTCATTCATCGAGGAACGTTCGAGCGGCCGATTGATATTTTCAACTTTGAACAACCTCTTTGACGACGTCGTAGTGCAGTTGCTGGCTGAGAGTTACAAGGATGACGTAGTGGTAGCCGCCGTCACCAGCTTCAATAGCATTCAGAACTGGAACACCAACAGCAGGCTAGACAAGGCAGATGATGACAACGTACGAGGCATGGAAAATCGCATGATTTCGAAAATTAACCAGAGAGAAGACGGCGACGATGGTGATTATCTTAGAGATGTCACTCAGGATGGTGCTGATGGTTTCGATGAAAAAAATAAAGATGATGACAGACAAGAATTCATTGAAAACCCACAAGGTACAAATTATTTACTCGTTCATTACATTCTCGGAGTATTTTATTAGGCACAAGCTCAACAATATCAGATATGTAAAAATAGCATTAACCTAACAAATTTTCACTTTTCACTTTAATTGGTCAATAAATCTTTTTATTGACCGAGATGAGAAAGGTGGTCTGAAGATAATTTCTATGCATTCTATGATTCATTTCACATAAGTAAAACACACATGCCACACACACACACACACACACACACACACACACACACACACACACACACACACACACACACACACACACACACACATACACACACACACACAGCTTAGCTGTCTACAGCGGTGGTATCAGCCCATTTTTAAAATTTAACAATGCTTAAACAAATATGTAATAACTTTTAATATAGTTATGAAAAAATATGATACCCACGTAAAATTAGATCCAAATCCGAACTAACTCGTAATTTTATTGCTGCCTCGCAGTTTTTGTTCACGTTCTGTGATTCTGTCAGTACATAATATTTGCTGTTTAATTCACCAACCACGCAGTTGACCTACCGAATTGTGTCGCTCTAGATCTTTTAAATGATTTCCTGTTCTTATGAATATTTAAAAAAATGTTGATCTAATTAATTTACTAGCAAACGACTCCACTTTTTCAACTTTAAATTTTAATGTTTAACGGTATTTCACGCATATGTTAACTTCACACGTCAACTAATTTCGCCCTGTGGACGCCCCTGATGATTTTTGAGATGCTTCTGCCAGTTGATAGCCGTCAGTCAATTCGTTGTCAGTTTATTTCATTAACATAACTTTTAATATCTTGCCGTTTGGAATTTCAGTATCAGAAAACAATTTAATGGATTTTGGAGACGTGAATGTCGGTGAAAGTCGAACTCTGACGTTTAAAATGCTGAACACGACTTCCATCGCTTGTCCTACCAACTTCAAATTCGAGTGGTCCGATGACGTTGATGGCCTCTCCTTCTCACCTCGGGTGGGCCACCTGCTTGGAGCCTGTCAGAAAGATGTCTTCGTCATTTTCAAGTCAGATGTCGAAACGCTGTTGGATAAATTAGAAGTTCGTTGTAGATTGGTTGCGATTGATTTCAACGGAGAAGGAGGGCCCCCGATGAACTGGGACGACCAGCTGAAGGTCGTTAAGTGGGTTGACGAAGTGCCAGGCGAACATAACAGCGATAATGAACACAGAAATAGCCTGTAAGTTGTAAAATTTTAATTTGTGAAATTTTCTATCCTGCTTGTTATCATTCTGAATAAATTAGGTTTTTTTCGAGGAAAATGAGGTTTGAAAATTAATAAATAATAAATGTTGAACTCCTTTTTCAGGAAACGAAAGTTAGTTATATTATCAATACAACTTTTTAACAGTTTTTCAAGCAGACGCTCCAAAAATATGCCGACGCTTAAAACGAAAGTGGTTGAATCGGAATTGGAGCCAAGTAATGTAGAATTGGATGAAACAGAAAGATATTTAAGCATCAAAATTTCGGCGTGTTGCTTTTATTGTCAATATGAGTTAAATTACAAGACCATTATATTCAAAGATACTCTTCTCTACAAAAACAGATCTTACAAGTCAGTTTTTAAGAATGTGTAAATTTAATTATGATAACACCATTAAATTCCCATTTAATCATATTTCAATTTTGCACAACATTAGCATAACGTTAAAGAACGTCGGTCGTGTAAAATTGTTTTATGCCTGGAACCTTTCCATGGCGAGAAACGAAAGGGGAAAGTCGATTGTAGCCGGTCAAGACATCAACTGCAGCCAAGTTGCTGGCGCTGATGAGGATGTCGGTCCACCGTTGACCAGCAGGCACATGGTGGCACCGCAGCAAGCATCACCAGACACTTCTCCCGTGACCAACCAGTCTCAGGTATATTCCAATGACTCCAATTAATTGCTGTTCACTCAGTTGTAACTGTCATCGTGAAAAACGTCATTAGGCTTATTGTCCATTCTCGATATCTCCCGCGTGTGGTGTGGTAGAGGCAAGTGCTGAACAAACGTTTTCCGTTACATTTAGTCCAATGATCGTCCAAGAATTTCATGCGCTCCTTTCATGCAGGTTCGATGGATGAACAACACATCTCGTTAAACATCACATACATTGAAACGTTTCATTAGATAAACAGCACATACATCAATAATAATAATAATACATTTCATTAAATAAACAACACATACTTTGATACATTTCATTAGAGAAGGTTAGACAAGTTTGTAAATAACAAAACTTTTGTGTTTTGTGTTTCAAGAATTTGGAAGTTGTTAAAAAATTGAATGATTTTTATACAGCACTCTTAGTGTAGTTTCCATTTCCATACAATTAATATTAAAGTTGTTCTCATTCAAAACATAAACGAATGCCGAAAGTTGACTTCATTATGGGAATTGTTTTGAGAGATTTTGTGAAGTTATAAGAGTAGCAATCATGAGATCATTAAGACGGCTTTTACGAAAATCTCAGTCAGTTTCAGAAAAAAAACCTTCTGCTTACTATTCCCTTTGAAAAGAAAATCAGTAGTGGTAATGGGATTGATATATTTTGAATAGCAATAAAATAGAAAAACAACATATGTTTGATTGCTTTTTATTAAATTATATTTTTTATTTTGAAATGAAAAAAATTAACGAAATCAAAATTATTTTTATATGCACCACACAGTATGAACAACTTAGCGCCAGGTATGGGCGGACCTACGGTTCAACTGAAAGGACGGTGCCTACTTCCTTACTGCCACTTTTTAGATTTTGAAGAATCAGATTATTTGACTGGTTCCAGAAGAAACCCCGATTTGTTGGCTCCCTTCATCATCCCTTCTTTTCGGAAGACGCTAAGTGAAGTTGCTGCCGACCCAACCACCAAGGTCACGGAGTTCCATGCCGTCGGTGTCTGTCGCACTATCGTCAAAAAGTCACTATTATTATTATTACTACTATTATTGTCTTTGCTGTTTCAATTGATAATCATACGAGTAGGGTTTGAGTGCAAGGATCGATTTTATATGAGGAGATTATTTAGTTTTTTTTACATGGTAAACTCGTTTTTAATAAAAGTTTTAACAGATACCAACCAAAGTTAACATCAAAATTTGACAAATATTGAACATCAATAATTTACAATTTATGCAGCGTCAATTTCGTAGCCTGTAACAAATTGCCATCTTTTAAAGACAAATGTGCATGTATTAATAATAAATAGCATGGACACCGTGGAGAAATTCACCAGACATTATGAAGCGTTTTACATTGGAAGACTGCTACAAATTTTTTTGCATTCGAACTTCTTAATCATTTACAGAAATTTTGGCAGAACCGAGGCAGAACCGATGCAAGCATTTAGTACAGAGGTTCTCAACGTTCATAGTGGCACCACCTTTTTTGTGAACCGCTGCTTTAGTAAATAATGTTCAAATTGGATAACGTTAGTGGTACGAGATTACTTAAAATGCAAGCGGTGTGACATTGAAAGGTTAACAAATTGTTTTCATTGCAGATGAAAAAATTTGGTAACAAAAAACACTATTGAATGAGACACGTTTTAAAAGATCATTAATTTAGCTTTAATCTTGTCGATTTAGTAAGAGAGTCCTATTAGTAGTAGACGTTTGTCACAGTAGGCGTAAGTTTGTAGACATCACTGAATCAACGTTTCTTATTTCAATGAAATATTGTTGTAAGATATGTTTGGGGAAAAAACTGGCTGTGAAACTGTTTGCCATCGAGAGAGTTTCAACTTAACGCATATTTTTAAAATATAAAAAAAATCTGGAGTGCTCGCATTTGAGAATTTAGTTCAAACTGCCAGACGAACAAGCCGCACCACGCGAGCGGATGGTTGAACATTTTTAAAGAATAAATGAAAGAATAATTAAATAAGAGAAATTTTTATTGGGAGATGAAAATTATTCACCTTCTCGACGGTTCTTATTTACAAAAATGATACTTGGATGCCTTAGTATCTTGCTCTGCTTGTCTTAATGACTTCATCACAATTAATAGTTTTTTAAAAACTCATAGAAAAGAGCGAAACATTTCAAATACGTTATGATTATTTTTTAGACGGGACGCTTGAAAAATTAAAATAATATTAAATGGGGCAACAGATTTGACCTAATGAACCCAACAAACATGGACTATTCAGCTTTGTGGGAGTGCATGGATCCAGAAGTGCCGGGTCTCACTCCTCCGTTTACCTGCTGCACTCCTTCCATCTACGTCCGCTCCATGAAAAAAAACGAAGTACGTAATTTACGGTTCTGTAATTTTATGTCACACTGTAATGAGCTCAGGTGCTTTTGGTAATTTTTTCAGTTTAATTAATATTTTTATTTTTTAATGTTTTTCAACCTAAAAATTTGTCGAAAAAATGAATTAATATACTGATGTCAGAACAAAAATACTTCAAACAACATTTATGTAGATTGTATTTGAGTTCCAAGCAAGCAGCTTGCATGTTGTTGAAAGTTACTGGCAGTTGAGGATACCGTTCTTTAACTTTGTACAAAAATTTCTTATTGTGGGAAGAAGCAGGGAGCCGCAAGTCATGTTCGACCAACCATTTCACAATTTCGACGCAGTCCTTATTGGTTAGTTCTTCCATCGCATTATTTTTTGTTGCACATTTTGAATTAACACAACAGACATGACGGACAACGTAAAAAGAACGTCGTACGCTTAGCTCTTCTCGATCTTAAGGGCCCTACACACGATCAGATTTTTGCACTGACCAAGCTGCGCTGACAAAAAACGCACGAACTGACTTGAGCGATTTTGTGTACACACGCCACAAACTTTCGTTCAGTTTTTTACTCAGTCTTGTTTGAAAACAGAATTTTGACACGGAAGCTTCATTGGCTGCCGGCCAAACAAAGAATTATTGACAAGATTGCGATGCTGACTTACAAATGTTGATGCGGTGTGACCACGGGTTGCTTTAAAATGCATGCGGGTTGGTAGGTGAAATATTTTCAAGCCTCATATCAGCAACAAATCAGAAGATGTTGCTGTCTAGGATTAAGGTCGGTGCTTGGTAGACGAAGTTCTATGATGTCAGTTCTTGATGTCAGTTTGAAATTCATTACCGTCTGAAGTTTGTTTGGAAATGAACTGAAGATGTATTTGTTTGATGTGACCTATGGGTTCTCTGAGAAAAATGAAGAGAATACTAATAATAACAACGTTAGAACAACGTCACAACATCTTCACGACAGACAACGTCACAAATCGAGTAGAAAATGCGATTTTAATTTATGATGTTGCATAACGAACAGGTAATGAAACTTCCACTACCGTCAATTTGTTGAACAATGAAGACGAATCCTTCCAATTCAAATTCGATTTGTCGTCGTGCTGCATTGCAGAGTGCCAAGAAGTATTAAACATCAATCCGACGTCTGCCATCCTTTCTCCAAGGACTCGGTCTATTTTATTTGCCCTATATTTTTATAGTTTTTAAAATGTGATTAAATAGTTACTTTAAACATGAAAATGACGAGAAAACTGTGAGCAATATAAACATATTTTAAATTGACAAGTTTATATTGTGAGGATATGACTTATTGCAATCAAAAAATGGTTTCTGGCTCTTCAAACAAACTGATGAATGAAATGACATTTTGATCAATCAGGCTGCCAGTGTGCATACGTTTCAATGCCCAACATGAAAAGGAAGTAAACTTCAACGTAAAATGTTACATCAAATGTATGACGTCACCATTGTCTCTCAACATAAAAGGTCGTGGATACGCCATGAACGCAGTCGTCTCGTACGGAAAGCAGGGCGACGAAATGATGACAACCTTGCAACCTGCTCATCTTACCACTCTTGATTTTGGAAAGGTTCATTCAACTCATTACTTCTATTTTTATCTTTTAAAGAGTTGGAACGGTAACATTAGTTGGAGTTTGGTGCAAAATGGAATGGCGAATTTATATACTTGTTGATAAATGAGTGTTGATTTATTGTTGAATCTTTAAAAAAAATTTATTGATGGATTGGGCCGTGGCTGTGGAAAAAACGTTTGATTTTTAGAAATAATAAACACGCGTTGCATGTGAAAAACTAAGGAATATCTTCACATTCGTATCGGGTCACTGTATTATTTTATGATTTAATTTTATTGAATAAATTAAAATTGAATTAGTTGACAATTTATATTTGAATATTGTTTTAATGAAGGTGCGTGTTTACGACAGCTCAGTGCTCTCCATTTCAATACAAAACGTTGGTTCTTTCAAGTTTGAATTTTCATTTACACTGTCCAAGAAGAACAAACCAGTTAGAGATTTCACAAGTGAAACTTCTCTGGTCAGCATCGTACCATCGTCGGCTGTTGTCGAGCAGGGTGATAAATGTAACTGCACGCTTGTCTTTCGACCTAAACAGCAACTAGTCCTACAAAATTATCTACTGACTCTTTATGTCAGGAGTTTTGTCAACGTTTTTATTTTTCAAACATTTTTTTGTTTGTAACTTAATACATTTCAATGTGCTGATATATATTGTTTTATTTCTGCTAAGAAATATGTTTGATAGTTGGTTATATGAATTAGATCAAACATGGTGCGACCTACTGCATGCTGCTCGCTGGACAGTCAGATCAATCGTCGCTTGACTTTTCTTGTTCCTATTTCAATTTCGGTTCTCAGTTCATTTACAAGGCTGACGTCGAACCTCCTTGCGTTCTCTTGACTATCAAGAATCAGTCAGAGAAGCCCATCAGGTTTTTGACCGTGTTCATTTGTCTTACTTTAATCGTTGTTATTATTAAACCTTCAAAAACTTTTTGTTCATCTTGGTTCTAAGTACCTTTCCAAAAAATTAAGATCATCCATCAAATTTTCATTTCACATCAACTGTTTTGATCGTGTTAATGCTCCGTAAATCAGCCAGCAGTATTTCTTTATAACAATGATCAATGAATATATACCATATTCCAAAGCCTGAATTGCACAAGTGAACCAGACTCCTGGCTTTCATTCCATTTCAAGCCACACATACTGAATCCGTGCAAATCATTGTCTGTTAAGTTCTCCTTTCATGCAAGAGAAACTAAGATGTTTGACCGGGATATAACATTTGTCATTGACGAAGTAGCCACAAAAGACATTCACTTCCATGGTCAAGGAGTAGAATTAAATGTATGTTCTTTTCAATTCATTATTCACAATTTTCATGGTAAATATTGCAGTTGAGAGCGTTAACAATGTTTAACATTGTGTAACATTAATGTCTCACGATTGTTGAATAAATCTAATCGTGACGCGTAATTACTCCAATTCTTTAAGAGCTATTTTAAAAAGAATAAATATTTTAGACGCTTTCCGATTTTAATGAAACGGTTTTTCAATATTTTTCAAGTTATATACAACTGCCGATAAAGTAATTCAGCGAAAACTTCTGCACGGCGCGCTTGCACCGCTCTCAACGTTATCACTGAGATCAACTGCAGCTAAAAACGGCAGCTCTCGTTTGCTTGCGTGTATCATTCGTTATTTTGTTTGCACGCTTGTGCCCAGATTGGTGATAATCAAATCGAACTAATTCACATCACTGATTCAACTGGTTGTAATTCGAGATACGCAATAATGCGACCGAACGACGCAAGATTCTTTTTTTCGAATTTTTTAACACGCCTAAAAAATTTACTTATATATCATTAAAATTTATTGTTTATATTTATTATTAACATTTATTACTAATTTAATTAATTTAAAATTGAATTAAAAATATAAAGGGTCGTATTAATTATTTTGATTTTAAAAAAACGTGGAATGGTTTTTAAAAAGAAGAGTAACTACACAGTTGCACAGCGTTACATTCAACGTTTTTTTAATTCCAAATAGTTATTATGACTATTCTTAGTAGAATCAACTAATAGTTAATTCATCAGCTAAACGCATCTCGCAATAAATTGTTTAAAAATGCTTTAGCGAGGTTCAAACGCATGTCAGACCTATGGTAAAAACCAACATGATAAATAGCTTTACTTTCTAATATTTTTTTTACAAATTATCTGTCATTTATTTGATCGATCAAATTTAAAAAATATTTAAATAATGATATCAATATTAACAATTTAGTTACTGTTACTTCCAGCTCGGTGTAGAAAATCCCTGTCACAATACAATAGACCTCGGAGCCTTATGCCCAGGACAGTGTACTAGAAGATTAGTCCCTATTGCGAATAAGAGTTTAGCGCCTGTTACGTTTCAGGTAAATATTCTTCCAGAAGAGAAAGAGTTGTTGCACCTTGGGACATTGAGCATAGGACCTGCTGGAATGTTTACAATTCCTGCCTGCTCAACATTCAATGTTGATATTTCGTTTGCTCCTTGGAAAAGAATAAAACAATTTAATGAAGCTGTAAGTTTTTATTGGTTTATAATTTGGACATAAAGTTGATTCATCAGCTAAACGCATTTCGCAATAAATTGTTTTAAAAATGCTTTAGCGAAGTTCAAACGCATGTCGGACCGATGATAAAAAAACAACATAAAATCTCCAGTAAAAAGCTTTATCATTAAACAGAGCTATTAATGCTGTTCAGCACATATGTCAGAATGTGATTAACTATCGCCACGTAATTATTATCATCTCTGATATTTATTGATATTTAACTCAACTTGATAAAATATTTTAATTATTTTAACAGATAATAGCTGAAGGTTTGGGTTTTAAGAAAACTCTATTCATGATAAAAGGATCAGGTCTTGGCTTTGAAGTTCTTCTAAACGTGAATCGAATCTATTTTGGAGCCTGTGTTCAAAAAAGTGTTACAGTCAAACAGTTACACATGTCAAACACTGGAGATTTCGGAACGAAGTAAGTTTTTATCTTAATATATTCAAATTATTTTTTCGAGTTGTTAATACATCGCTAACATTTATTGTTTCCAAACTAGTTGAAACTTAAGCTTTCGAAGCATTTTTGCATAAAAAGATTGATAAAACGAGTTATTAAAGTTGCGACCTACCGAATCTACTTTATAGTCAATTGTGTTTACAATTAAATATCTACTTTTATTTCCATCTAGGCTCAATTATAATAATTGAAAAAAAAAACATTAAAAACTTTAGAAAAAGAAATTGGGAAAAATAAAAATTGTTGAATAAGAGAAGACTTTAAAAGCGTCATAAAACAATGAAACATTAAATGAATTATTGGTACAAAACGTGGTTACAATCTTTAAAATTGAATAATATTACAATCGTTCCATAAAATTGCAGAATTTTAAAACAAATGATTTTTTCAAATTAATTTTTGTACATTTAATATAAGGCAAAGTCATATAAATTTTTTACGAAAATATCAATAAATGTTTTACATTATTTTGAAATTGTTCAAACATTTGAACACAATTTAAAAAATTAGAAACTTTTGACTAAGAATTTAAGTTCAGTGGAAAATTTGAACACATTTTTCGTTCACTAGTGAAAATTCTTGCAAAATCTTAAATCTTTCGTTCACTCTTGCAGACCAGACTTGAGTTTAGCCGACTACTTTAGACTTACATCAGGGCAGCTTTTGACTCGGTCAACAGAGACGCTATATGTCTGCTGTTTCGTGACCTGGGAATTCCTCATTATCTTGTAGACCTGTTAAAGGCTTTTCAAACTCACACCTCCCTTAGCTGCGTTGAAAGAATGTTCCTAGTAGTTCGGTCAGACAAAATTTTCAAAGTTAATTTTTCTTGCCCCGATGGATTAGATTTTGAGATAACACAATCAGCGAAGAAGTCTTCTCAGACCTTGAATATGCCGACGATGTTACTCTGCTGGCAGAGATGCAGGAGGTTTTTCAACTGTCACTGGCAATCTTTTTCGAGGAAGCTACATCTTTTGGATTGGAAATAAACGGAAACAAAACCAAGATACAAATCATTCCTGCGGGTGATTCTCTGTTGGAAAATGTTTCGGTAATGAGCAACAACATTTTAGATTATGGATTTATTCACTTACCTCGACTAAAAAATATATAATGCTGGCAGTAGTTGTGTTAAGATATCTTGCCAAATCACAACCACTAGTTCATGTATAAAGTCTTAGGGCCGTAACATATAACACTCAAGTATCTCACTGACAACTAAAATCAAGCTCTATAACGCTTACATCATTTCTACACGGCAATGTTCCGCTCTGGGGCTCGTCTGTAAAAAGGATTGCATATCGCACACACAGTATATCTTTTCACAAACCCGAGTTTGAAAAATAATTTTTAAAACATAAATAAAAAATTTTCAAATTTTTAACACTTTGTGGAGTCGGATGAAAAATATCCGACCTCTCAATATTCCGACTCAGGCAAAAACCTCTGACTCCGACACCTTGGTCGCAACCCACTAGTTGGAAATCGCTGATCTATCGTAGTTGAAAAGACGTGAAACTAATTATGTTATTTATAGAATGTGTAACAATTCCAAAACAGCTTTCGATGGGACACGAAAGAGATGACACCAAACTTCTGCATCAGTCCTGAGAGAGGGTACATACCAGCTGGCGCAGAAGTTTTGTTTGATGTCACATTCCAGCCAAAAAAAATTGTTGATGATATACGTGTTGAGGTAGAATGTTTATTCTTTACTCATCTCATTTTTATAATACAATTTTTCCTAATCCTGTGAACAATTTACTAAATTTTTTTACAGTGTAAATGTTTTTTTGACGGAGATTGTTTTACAGAACTAGCATTGTGCGGATGTTGCGTAGAGTATCCAACAGCTAAAGAAACTATCACCATGCAAACTTCTGTCCGTCAGAAAGAAACAAAATCAATTGCAATTAACAATCCAACCAATCAGTCTTGGGTTATTCGGCCTGTTATCGAAAGTGAACACTGGACTGGATCTGAAATATTCAATTTACAACCTAACTCCACGAGCAACTACATTTTGACATACCAACCCATGGTTATGACGTCAGATAACGAGAAGCACACAGTGAATAATTTGATTTTGTTTAAATAAATTTTTCTTGCATTTGAATGATTTCCAATATTTTTGAAATAAAAACCAGAGCAGTATCTTTTTCCCATTCCCGGATGGCACTGGAGTTTTGTACAATCTTGTTGGAATTGCCGACGCTCCATCAGCAACAACAAAAATAACCAGGGAGATACCTTGCAGAACTCTTTACGTTGAATCTATTCCAGTCGAAAATTGGCTTAATAAACCCCAAAAGTTTGTTCGAAAATTAGATTGGTTAATCAATTTGTAATTATTAGTTAATAATAATAAATATTGATTGTTTATATGATGAAACGTCAGATTCAGGATAAAGATAGATTATTTATTGATCAATGCTCCAAATACTCGGGATAACAAAGATAAAAATGATAAAATTTCGTTGAGAGAAAAGGTAGAACTACCAGCCCATATCAAATTGACTGGTGTTGACTTTGTTGACGTTCCTCCATTATCAACCAAAGATTATAAATTGTCTATTCAATCATACAAGGAAGGAACATATCAATACAAGGCTAGATCTATACATTCATAGATTGATCAACGTTTGCATTTGCATTTTTTAAAACCACAAATACCGTATTATTTTTAGGTCATATTTGTGAATAGCACAACACATGAATACTCATTCGTCGAACTGACACTAACATTTAAAAAACCTGATGTGGTTTGCACGTTCGAGATGAATACAACAGTCAGACAAAAAGTCACTCAGGATATACTAATCATAAATCCACTCATGATCCCAACGACATTCACAGTTACAAGCAGTTTGCCTGATTTATGTTATCTGAATCAGCTCATTGTACCAGCTGTCTCTGAGGTTGTTTGATAATCATCTATACGTAGACCGCTGGCAATCACTTTGATGTTAAAAATTTTTTCAGAAATTATTTTATGTCGAATATTTTCCTTTAAAACCGGAAATACTAAGGGGTAAATTGGAAATGACATCAAACGAAATGGGACAATTAGTTTATGAAATCAAGTTAATTGCTTCAGAGTCACTTCCTGAAAAAGAACTTGTGTTCAAAACATCACTTGGTTCAAGTCAATCACAATTAGCGCGATTCACGAATTATAGTAAATCAAAGACTGATTACATTTGCAAAGTATAAAAATTATTTTATTTTTGTTATAAAATTTTATGACAATTTACTTTTATGCAATTAGGTAAACCACAGTGACTTCACGTGTGAAAAAGTTGTAACAGCCATTAACGCAGGCACAGAACAGTCCATAGAGGTGACCTATCAACCATCCAGTCTGGGAAGGGTTGAGACAACGTTAGTGGCCAGTTCTCCTCATGGTGGAACATACACATTTCCAATTTTTGCAGAGTGTCAATTTCCTAGACCCCAAGTTAATAATGTTTTTGAAAAAATTTACGACTTAAATTATTTATATAAACATTAATTTAATAATAGTACTACCTCAAAAGCTTATTGTGGATTAGTATGTATTTTAAATAACATTAGCAAAAAGTTATAAATGGAAAATCAGTCATTTTGAAAGTTTCGAAATTATTTAACCTTTTTTCAGTTACATCCAAAAAAGAGAATTGGATAATTATACTGATTGTAATATTATTATTACTACTATATATTACTATGTATTACACTAATTGATGTTTACCCTATCCAATTCTTTGGTTATTTGGTTCAAAAATTTCAGTTCTGTTAACTATAAAAGTATAACTTTTGTAAAAAAAAGAATTTTTTTACAAAGAAATTTGGTTTTAAATTATTGGGAGATTTTCATTTTTGGAAGTTTAGTCACAAAATAATTGTACAACTGATTTCTTTAAAAAATATATTTACTTATATATATATTTATTTATTAGGAAGCCAAACATCTCTTGGCGTTATAAATATAAATTTATATTTATAATAAATAAATATAAATTTATCACTTTGGAAACTGAACCTGAGTTTGCGGAATAGATCTTGCTAAGTTTCAACTTATTCTCACATTTTTATATGTAAGACTCTACTATTCCAAACAACTGAATAAGAAAATGTCAAATAAATATAGAAAATAAAAATAATGATACACAACAAATATAAATATTTAATTAAATATTAATTAATTTTTATTCAATAATTCAAGTTACTTATTTGTAATTATTAAATTAATTTAACGAATAATTTAAATTATTTAAGGGACCGTTCGTTATTAAACATGGATCCCCTGCAACAATTGTGTTCAAGAATGTTTTCAAAAAGGCTACTAAATTTAACTTTCATGTTGACAACCCAAATTTCCGAGTGAATACCGCGTCTGAGACTATTCAAGCAAATAGGGATTACAAAATCATTGTTACATTGGACGGAACTGCCTCAGCCACAAAGTTAACTAAGACGGGAAAGTTGATAGTTGTATGTCCTCAAGCGACAACTGCATGCCAACCTTCGAGAATTCAATGGGATTATTATTTGAAAGGTGTTTATTAACACTTAAAACTTAATTGTAAAACTAATTGTAAAACTTATATACAATACAATACAATATGTTATTTTTTGGTTTTTCTTTTTTGAAATTATTAGTTCGTTTAAACATTGTTTTCCCAGATGTTTTTGCACAAGTATAAAAATGTTTCTATATAAGTAAAATGAATGTCGTTAGTATTTAAATTAAAATTTCATGTCGTAAAAATTTGATTTGCCCACTGTTAGTTAATTCCTTTATGCTTGAAACCATTTATATATGTAAAGGGTACGTTTGACGAAAGTTGTTAACGCATGTCAACTTCATTTCGTTTTGTGATGACGGCATCTTTTTTGATTCGATCGCCATTAAAGCTTCCGGAGTTCGTTGGCATCAGGGAATGGAAATTCGACAACGGCAACGATCCAACCTATGTCATACCATCAAATACCTGAAAAGAAAGACGATGGCAGAATTCTATATATTTATTTAAGTTTGGTTATTTGTTTAAGATTAGAATTTTATAAAATTTAGCTTTGCATTTTTACATTGCGTGAGAGCGCCTGTGAGAATATCCAATATAGCGGATGCTATCTAAATGTTCATTCGATGACGATATATAATATATTTAAAAAATCTTGAAAAATTAGGTAACAAACGTGGACAAATCGACAGAACAACCAGCCATGCAAACGAAATTCAACTGACCGAATGTGTGGGTAGTATATGTTATCATATGATTTGGGTGCACATAAAGCGCTTTTTCTAACAATGTTACACAAAACCGCTCCAACCAGATTCTCTGATCGTTGATACATATTATACCGGACAAAAAAAAACTAAATATGCTGAAAATATATAAAATAAACATTGTAGAATATATAGATTTATTTATTTAAAGTAAAACCAGAAGCCCACAGGGCTTGTGCGGCAACTTAACTAACAGAAATTATGCTGTTCAATTGTCAATATAACTAATTAATAAAACAAAATTTGTTCATAATGTCCAAAAAAAAGAAAAAAACACAATAATGTTTCGCAAAACAAAAAAGAAAGAAATCAATGAAAAAAAGATTGATTAAATTGCATCTGTTTCTATCAGTTATGGATGTCGGACTTGAACTTCCAGTAGGATCGCGATTGTTGTATATTGGTCACCAGCTTGCTCCATGTTTTTAATCCACACATCAAGGTGCCATTGCTGTATATCTTTGTTCTTGTCACCGGCAAATAAAACTCATTTGCATGTCTAACATGCAGATTAATTTTTAGACTTAAATCGAGTAATAACTTCCGTTGCATACGACGACAAATTAATTTCATATAATTTATAAAAAATAGCATCAAATAAAATTTATACAAGCTGCCTATTGTAAGTATTTTGCTTACTTTAAAGAGATGGCTGACGTGGTCAAATTTTCTTACGTTAAACGAAATTCTTAAAAAAAACCTTTGACATTTTAATAATGCTAAATAACATATAGGACTATTGCCCCAGATAGGCAAACAATATATTAAATATGGATGGATAAATTAATGAATAATACAACATTATAATATAAAACGTGTAAATAGATTTTAATTTGCTGATTATACCAATTCTTTTAAAAATTTTTTGAGAAGTATTGCTAATATGATTTATCCATGAAGTCAGATTTGATAATCACCCCTAAAAATTTTATCGTTTCTGTTCTTTCAATTGGGTTATCATTAATGGATATTTTAAAATGCAATAAATTAGTTGACATTTTAGGACCAAAAACTAGTCATTTTATTGGCAAGACACCGATCAAAAATTAATGCAAGTTCTCGATTTATCACTTCATTAAACCCTTCCATAAAGCGGCTTTCAAACAATATTGTCGTATCATCTGCATACTAAAAAAATTTGGCAATTGTTGAAGATCTAACAATATCATTCAAAAATAAATTAAAAAGAAGCGGCCCCAAGATCGATCCATGAGGAACGCATGTGTTTTGGTAACATGTCAGATGTTGTCCCCTCAATAGACACATAATGGCTTCTCTCAGATAAATAGCTTTTGAACCAGGCTAACAATGTTCACCTGATCCCATAATGACTCAACTTTTGAATTAGAATGGTATGAAAGCTTTTTTGAAATCAATAAAAACCCATACGGTATGGATTTTCAGTTCAATACTGCCAACAATTCTACTGATCATGTCAAAAACGGCCACTTCAGTGGAAGAAACCTTCTTGAACCCGTACTGACAATCAAAGTGATTTTTTTTCAAAAAAAAATTATCAATCGAAAATGTACAAACTTTTCCATAACTTTTAACATCCTGGACACCAAACTAACATTAACTTAGATTTCCTATTATTTGGATTTAATGTAGATCTAATTAATTGCCAGGTTTTTTGTATTTGATTTGTTTAAATAAAACTCTTTGTGATAATAATTTTGTTTTGCAAAAATTACTACTTTAGAAAATGCTTTTTGTAATTTAAATATATATGTTTGTTTTTTAAAGTACTGTTTTTAATAAATTTTTTATACATTTTATTTTTTCATCCAAGGATGTTTAAACTTAGAACGAGAATTATGAGGAACAGTGGAACAGAAAAAATTAAAAGTCTCATTAATTATTCGTGGAAACAATCAAAACCAACATCAACATCGTTAATACCTATAATGTATCTCCAATCATAATTGGCAGAAAAGAATTTAGCCTCATTATGTTATTTGTCGAAAAATTTTTACGTTTAAAATTGATTACCAAAAATTTGTGATTTTAAAAGAAATGTGGTATAGATTGCAAAATGGTCTGAATTATCAATTTGGACCACGCCAGACATATGATCAATTAGATGATTATATATATTAATGAAACATTTAAAATCGCTAATTAAAATCAAAAAGTTCTCAAAAGCGTTAATATATATATATATAATTATATATATATATATATTATTGATGAAAAATCACAGCATTGTAAAACTTTGAAATATCCCTATATAAGTGCTGTTATGAGTAAAATTGAAATAGGAATAGAAATAAGATCGAAAAATCTCTTCATCATGAACGTCAACGATTTATATGTCTCAACCTCTCTGTCTCAATGGGATTAGTGAGTGCACTGAAACATTCCTAACCAGTACGATCAGTGCCTTCGTCAACAGGGCGTATACTCACTCATCAAAAGCCGAAAATAGAGAAAAAGAACTCCAACGAGTAACCAATCCTGATTAATAATGGATACAAACTATCACAAATAAAGAAAATAATTCACCACAAAGAACAACGTAACAATGAAAATACAAACGACAATAACAACAATATAAAAAACATCATAATTTATTATAAAAATAGTATGTCCTCATCATATAAAACAGATGAAAAAATAATAAAAAAGATAATAAAAAACAATGTTAATTAAAGTCATAGATACAAACATCTCAATAAAATTAAGAATTTACTACACAAACAGGAAATCATCATCTCTTAAAATAAAAAACAATTCCAACATTTAAACCTTCCTCGGACAAGAAAAGTAGTCATTTGATTTATTCATTTACATGTAAAATTTGTGAGTGCGTGCATCAAAATTCTGAATACATCCGAATGACTACAACAACATTAACGAGAAGACTCACTATGCATAAGCAACACGGAGCAATAAAAGACCACCTAATGGAACAACATAACACTATTATAACAAGGGAAATTTTAGACAATAACACCAAAGCAATTTATTACAACAAAGAATACTTCAAATTGAAGATAGCAGAATCAATTTTCATTGATAAACGTAAACCAGCAATATATATTCAATTAAATAATACCAATATTCTTCTAACAAAGAAACACATGATTAACTATAATTCTAATTAAGTTACAATCAAAGTCACTGTAAAAACAAAGACACAAAGACGTAACAGTACTATATAACTACACTGATGACGGCAGTTGATGCCGAAAAGAGCTTTTTTGTAGTAATAACGTTATTAATAATGTTTTGTCAAAATTGTCAAATACTAAAAGTTTTTATTTAACCTTAATAAACTTCATCAAGATGATAATAGTCTCGTTAGAAAAATTGAGAAACTCAACTACAAGTTGAATAATGCCAAGAATGCAGTGATCTTTATAAATAATTGTATATGTTGGTAATAGATCATAATTTTTACAATATTCTGCATATTTTACAAACCTCACTTCCAACCCGGCGCTTAATCAACAATGAAAACAAAAAAGTAATAAAAACTAGCATTGTAAATAGTGACAAGGAAGAATATGATGCTATCAATGAAGAAAAGGAAACCAACAAAGATTGACCTGCCAATAAAGAAACCTGACACCTAATTTCCATATAAGTTCACTTTGACAAAGTCAATATTTCCCTATATAAACTTAACCGCACTGATGATGATTAATTCGGAATCGAAATATGGCTTTATTTGCAGCAAGAATTCGGAAAATAAGTTTATTTTGAATTTTAATAAACGTTCACCAAAAAATCGAAAAAACAAACTACAAACATATTAATGCCAAACATTCGGTAGAATTTATAGAATATTGTAAAAATATATATATACATATATATTTACAATATATATATATATATATATATATATATATATATATATATAATATTCCATAAATTCTACTGAATGTTTGGCGTTAATGTTTGTAGTTCGTTTTTTCGATTTTTCTCACTAACGTCTAGTTTATTAAAATTCAAAATAAACTTATTTTCCGAACTCATGCTGCAAATAAAGCCATATTTCGATTCCGAATGAATCATCATCAGTGCAATTCAGTTTATATAGGGAAATATTTATTTACTTTGTCAAAGTGAACTTAGATGGAAATAAGGTGTCAGATTTCTTTATTGGCTGGTCCATCTTAGTTGGTTTCTGTTTCTTCATCAATAGCATCATATTCTTCTTTGTCATTATTTAGTATAATGCTAGTTTTTATTACTTCTTCATTGTAGATTTAAGGACCGGGTTGGGAGTGAGACAAAAAATGACAACCTCACTAATTAATTTATTGACTCCAACACTCTCCTTTGAAACTTTATTTTGACAGCCTATGCGGAATTGAATATTTTGCCAGATAAAAATTTGTTACAATTTCGAAAGAAATGAGTCAAGTACAGTTGATGACAAAGAGTTTCCAACTTCAACTCATGTTTAACTTTCTTTAATGCTGTCATTTATTCTTGCTCCAAGTGATTTCCTAAATCTAAATAAAACATCAATTAGTAATAGAAGTTAATTTATTTTATCATTTCCAGTTTTTTGTTCAATTTGCTGGGCCAATTCTGTTAAAAAAAATTAACAAACTTAAATTTGAAGCAAAAATTAAAAAAAAAATGCTTTATTTAATTAAAAACTAAACAAGTAGAATTAAATTTAATATAATAATAATTTAATTATAATAATTTAATTATATATACAAAACATAACAATATAACATAATCTAGCCAGATGTAGATAGATATTTAAGTCTATAATAACCTTTGTCCTTCAGTTATCAATTTACAATAGGAATTATAAGCAGACTGGTCAAAGCAGACTGTGATACGAATAGAGAAGAAAGAGACTTGATTTTGACGAATCTCAGTAGCTTTGACCAATCCAAAAACTTATCCAACATGAAAAGTTATGAAAAAATAAAGAAAACTTTAATAAAAAAATTAACTGTGGAAGTGTAGAAGAATCTGATTTGATGCAAAGATCCAAGCAGGCTGTGATACGATACAGTTACTTTATGGTACGATTCACAGCAACTTGAACCACTACATCAGACCAACATGAAGGGCAGTTAACCAAATTTTTTGAAAACATTTTTTAAAGGCAATATAATATAATTGATAATTACTAGTATAATAATAATGTGACGTATAATCGTATATAATCAAAATATAAAATGTTACATATGAATCTATCTATCCAAAAATGGTGATTACGAATGACATACCAATTAAATTACTATTACAACATTA